AAACCGGGAATCGATTTCCTCAAACACCGTCGTCTTAGAAAGAGTTAGAGAAAAAAGGTAATATTTGATATTACTTGTAACAAATCAAAATTTGTATTATTACATGTTTTTAAAGATGACGATCTGTTAATTCGCTTTGTGTATTTATGGGTTATGTATTTATATGATAAATACATGTTTTGAAAAATTTTATTCCGCTGCGTTTCACTCGTACGATACTAGCGAACCCAACAACCTCCACGTTCCAATGCTCATGTCCGAGTCCTACGCAATATAGGTCTCTCCCAATGTGCAATCCACAACTCATCAGCACCAGACCTGGTCTGTCCGGCCCACTCGGGTCCAGTTCGGTCCAACCGAGTCACCAACACTGAGAAGCAGTTTAACCCAGTTCAGCACTTGTCCAGGAGTAATCCAACCCTCGATTCGAGTCCAAGAAAATTCTCGAACGGTCCGACTAACCAACCGAAGGTTTGAGATCATCCGACGGGCCGGACGAGTGACCCAAGACATGAGACTGTTGATGTGCGGTGATGGCAAGGCGAAGTCTGACAACAACAACAACAACAACAACAACAACAACAACAACAACAACAACAACATACCCAGTATATTCCCAACTGGTTGGCGTCTGGGGGGTCAATTGTAGCAGACCTTACCCTTGTAATTATACAAGGAGGCTGTTTCCGTAGTGACCCAAGGTGCATTGCGTCGTTCAATATATTTTTTTTTTCTAGAAACTTCACTTATAGAAAAAGCACTGGAATTTAATTGAGCCATTTTGATCTAGTTCATTGTTAGCACTATGCCAGGAGAATTTTCAACAATGACTCTTCCAGCTCCATCATACGATCTCCAGCAGCGGAAATTAATAACGTCTCAGAGTATAAAAAATTTTAAATCGTATTCCTAATCCTAACAATAGATTCCGCTGTGTTGGGATTTATTTCCAATAGATTCGAATGTGCACGAGGACGACGTTCCTCATAGAACCCAACAACTGGTATTAGATCCCAAGCTAATTTGTCTTTGTGCACTATTCGAATTAGGACTTGCGTGACATATGTGAATTAATTGTGTAGGGGTGCAACACATATTGGATTAGATATGCAAAGAAGCATGTGTTGCAGGTATTCTTGGATCCAACTATCGTGTCCCGTTTGTGTGTTTTAATTCATGTATGGTATTTTATAAGCCTCGGACATGTCGAGGATCTTTTGGTTGGTGAATGTTGTAAAAATTTATTCGCTCAATGGGACACCTCATAATTTAAATGCTTTACTAGATCATTCATGTACGACCCCAATGTGGGTCGTAGGATGAAATATGTAATTTTACTGTTATGTTGTTCGATTGACAATTTGAGATTTTTTTTTTCAGTCAAACACAAAAATGCAACTCAATCAAGTTTTAAACCTCATTCAAACACATAGTAGAAAGCCCCGTCATCATAACAAGTACACTGTCAAATCTCAAATAATTCAATCAACTCGGTTGACAAGAAATGCGGTTCAAGGCTCAACGGGCTACTAATGAAAATATCACTTCAATGGCCAATGAAAACGGCTAAAACGAGCAATGTCAAAGAAATGCCTCAATCATTTTCACAAATTACTACTTCAATCAATTCGTTTCGAAATAGACTCAAAGCAAGTTCTGATCACCCAAGAATCCGACCAATATCTCACCAAAAAAAAACAATATAAGGCTCAAACCTCACGAGGTAAATAATATCCATCAAAACGATCAATCGAGTTCACCAAGATATATTAATAATGATCATCATCACATCACCTCAACTTCATCAACAATCATCAACCAATCTCAAAATTTACCACAGTCTATACTCACAAAACACACAATCTGACTCAAGATAAGACATTCAACAAAAGCATAAAATGAAACACCCTAAAAGACCTAGACCTGGTCAACCATATAGACACATAATAATGTAAAAACTTCCCCACACTTAAAACCGAATAATGTCCCCCTTATCGATCATCAGTGCAAGGAAAGTTCACCCACATACTCAACCAACATAAAAACAAAGACACTAAACCAAATACGAAAATTAAGGGAAAGGAAAAAATACAGACGTACAGGGCACAGTGACTAGACGAGTTATTGTGAATCCGGTGGTATGAGTGGAGGATGGCGGGAGTCAGGCCCCGAACAGCGGCGGGCGTCTGACAATTCAAATATCTCGCTCCACTGGGATCGGGGCAGCTCTATGGAACTCGGCTTAGGACGGGTAGTGCGGCGGTCGGTATGACATTCTTTCTCAACACAGACACAGTCCTGCAATGACCTCTTCGCGTGCTCTCGACACACTTCCTCAGTAAGCTGCTCAATCGCCCTAAGGTATGCACACTTTTCTACCAACTTCACATGCCGCTCAGGTCGAGTCTCTCAAACGGAAATGAAGGTAGATTCCCCCAACATGGTCATGCTCGTAGTCCCCTTCTTCACATCAATGACCGTGTTGGTGGTCGCCATAAAAGGTCGTCCGAGGAGGATGACGTGCTCCTTACCGTTTTCTTTCACGTTCCCCACATAAAGCACAACAAAGTCCACGAGGACTATCAGCTTCCTTACTCGGACGAGAACATCCTCTACAATCCCTTCTAGTGACAGAACGAGCGATCTGCAAGTTGTACGTGCATCTTGGTGGGCTTCAAATCTCCAAGGCCGAGCTGGTGATAAATTGTGAGTGGCACGAGATTAATGCCTGCTCCTAGACCAAACACACCTGAAGTCTCTTCCCCATTCCTGAAGGCTATAGTGATCACGAAGTCTACGACGTCTTTTTCTTTCTTCGACAAGTTATGCTGAAAACACTTGTCGATTCAAACACGAGCACCTCATCACTACTCTCGAGCCTTTGTTTATTTGCTGCTAATAGCTTGAAAAATCTTGCATACGTCGGAATCTTCTTGATCACGTTGGGAGGAGATAGGCCGACGTTGGCCTTAGCCAGTATCGCATGGAGGTCTCGAATCATCCTGCGGTCCTTATCCTCTATAAGTCTCCCTAGAAAAGGGATCCTCGGCCTATATAGGTTAGGGGACTTCTTAAGGTTGGCTCGATAGGCGGTGTCATCTGGGCCTCTTCTTTTTGTTCTTGCTTCCTCAGATCCTCTTTTTCTCCTTTCTTTGCCTCTCCGCCTACCATCTTCTCATCAATGTCGGGAGAAATCACCGTGATTGATTTCACGTGCTCTGGCTGACTCGACAGTCTGTCTTACTTTTACTCCACCTCGATGTTCCCCACTCGGGTAACTAACTGCCCTATCTGTGCTTCCAAGCGTTTATTGGAAGCCTCACTGCTCGCACTCCGCTGCTCACTATTGGTCATGTATTGAAGAATTTTGTCTAATTTTTCATCTGAATTTTGTGGGCTCGGTCCGGCGCCCAACGTCTGGCATTGGCATCCTTATCATTTGTCCCCTTGGTTGTTGTTGCTGGGAGACAAAGTTGGTTTGAGGTGGCTGTTGATAGTGATTATAGGCCCATGAGAAGTTCGCGTGGTTTCGCCACCCCTGTTGTATGTGTTCGAGTAGGGGTCATTTCCAGGTCGATTCTAATACCCCTGCAATGCATTAACTTTAGCATTCTGCCATCCTCGACAGTCGATGGGCACACTTCGGACCCGTGCCCCTGAACTCCACATGCGCCACAAACAATCACGGCCATAATCTGAATCGGTGAGGACCCTCTATGATTCAGTAGCCTCATTTGCTCGATGAGGTCCGCTAATTGCTGGGCCATTGCATTGTTGCTCGATCCTACCTCATTCACCGTCACCCTCTTTCCTCCAATGTTCTTTTGAGACAAATTTGTGCTCATCGTCTCGAATATATCCATCATCTCTTCAGCTGTTTTCGCCCTGATATCTCCTCCGGTTGCATTATCCACCATGTACAGCAAGTTTTGGTGGAGGGAGTCGTAGAACCAGTTTGCCAATAGCCCAAGAGAGAGGTTGTGGTGGGGGCACTGCCTCTGGAGGTCCTTAAAACGTTGCCATGCCTCGTGAAGAGGCTCGTTTGACAATTGAGCAAAGGAGACTACCTGGGACCGAAGTTCTTGCGTTTTATGATGGGAGCAAATGTCCATAATACCCTTACTGATGATATAATTTTGGTATTTTTTTCAGCCATTAAATCATCCGATCTGACTATGATCTATTTTTATTTCTTTCTTGAGCACCTCTCATTTAAACTTAATATATTATATATTAAATGATGATAGTGATGTTGTACCCACCGACCACATTCTTTATAACAAATTTTAGCCTACAAAAAGAATTTTGAAATTGTACATTTCTTCTTGTCACTTCAAATTGTCCCCACAATCTAATTTCAATATTTTGAAATTTAAATCTTAATTGATGTTGAAATTACCTTTATTTTAAAACATGCATTCCACAACTCTACCATCAGTGGGAAAACGACGTGAGGGGGAGCGTGTGAGACTGCGAAAAAAGACTCGACCAACGGAATGGAAACAAAGTTGAGAAATTGAAGTACTTATTTTCTTTTTTCAAACAATATGAATCTCATTAAATCATCAAACAAATTTTGAAATAAGGTACAAATTGGAAGTTACTTATGGTCGCTCGAAAAGTACAACTTGAGATGGTACAACTTCACTCAGTAACATCTTCGAGTTTTTTGAAACCAGACTTTTGAGCTGAATGCGTATCATCATAACGGCTTGGGTTACTTTTCAATTACACGAAACAAATAAGATCTTTCATTCCCTTACCAAAAAAACCCGTAACATTTCTCAAAATTTCTAACCAATGTTATTGTCTAAGCAGCAAGAAGTGAATATGTACCAAAAAATAAAATGCAAGAAAGCTGAATTTTAAGTTAAAATCTCAATTTCAACCCAACCGAGATAAGTCATAAATGTAGTGAGTTAACTGGGCGTACTCAACAACAAACAATGTAATGTACTAGGCATGATGTTGTCTTTACATCTAACACAAACCACTGCAAATCACGGGAACTGGAAGGAACCCCCGATTTGGGTATTGCCGGATGGGGGTGAAATAGCAACCCACAAGAGCGATATAGTAATGGCAATGAGGCCAGACCAGACAAAGACAATGGTGGGGGTTCTCCCTCGTCTCCCCATCAGGCCCTTGGCGAAGGGGTATAGATGGGCCAACACCCAGAAGCTAAAGAAGACGCCGCCCAGCAAGCGACTCCACTGGGGTATCGTGCTGTATATGGTGCGGCTAACCCCCACGGCTATCGCTATCAAATTAGTGAGCATGATGGTGATGGGTGGAATCATAAGGGATGTCCACTTGAGTATGTAGAGATCAGCAAAGTCGTCGTCCACGTCATCGCCGGCCGACTTGGATGTGAGGGTGAAGGAAATCTCGATCCCAGCAACCACTTTGAGTAGGCCTTGCAAAACGGCCGCGAGGTGAGCGCTCGTGCCTCCAATCAGCCAGAACTGCTCGTTCCTCCACCACTCCTCCAGGTTTATGCCTGACCACTTGATCTCGAGCACGGCCAGGGCGCAGAGCGTTAGCGTGATAATGAGGAGGTAGGTGAGGAAGGTGACGTTCAAGGTCTGGACTATGAACTGGCCGGAAAAGAGGGAGAGGGCCGGGAGGAAGCAGTAGACAATGAGGAACAAGGAAGTGAAGGGGTAGATGCCGACGTTGAGGTAGGCGACCCTCTGGAGAAACTTCATGCGGGGAGATGCGAGGAGGGCATTGTTGCGGGAGAAGAAGATCTCGACGGAGCCCGTAGCCCAGCGCAGCACCTGGTGAAGTCGGTCCGTCAAGTTGATTGGGGCCGTGCCCCGGAAGGCGTCCCTCTTGGTGACGCAGTATATGGAGCGCCAGCCGCGGTTGTGCATCCGGTAGCCCGTCACCACGTCCTCCGTCACCGACCCGTAGATCCATCCCACGCGGTTGCCCCACTCAGTTTTATCCTCGTACCAGCACGAAATCACGCTTATGGCCTCGGCTACCGTGGATGCATCGAGGAGCTCCCGGGGGATTGTGAGTGCACCGGGAGGCCGTCCGTTCTTCACGGCTGGGTGATCCGCAAGCGGGCGGCCCTGGAATTCGGCCACGGGGATCGAGTCGATCAGGAAGCTCGAGTTGCCGAACCTCTTGGAGAAAAGGGAGGGGTTCATGGCCCCCTCTTCGTCGTCCATGCGGAGAGCTCGGTGCTCCTCGGGGGCAGAGTTGTGGGGCCGACGGCGAGCAAAGAGGCTGCAGCAAACCCGGTGGTCTTTGGAGCGGGGCGGATCAAAACCATACAAAGCAGTCCGGCGGAAGAGGCAGCCAGTGCCAACATAAACAGGGCCCTGGAGCCCATCAAGAGCCCGCATGTTGACATCAAAGAAGACAGTGTTGTGGTTGGCATAGCGATCCGAGGGGTCGATACCCTCAAAGCGCTGGGGGAACTGGACATAGCAGATGCGGTCCCCGCCACGGTCCATCATGAAGCACATGCCCTCGCGTATGGCTTGCGAGTTGTAGATGTAGTGGTCGCAGTCAAGATTGAGGATGAAGGGCCCGTTAGACATGATAGCCGAGGCCCGCACGAGGGCATTCATGGCCCCGGCCTTCTTGTTGTGGTCGTAACCGGGCCGCTTCTCACGAGATACGTACACTAGCATCGGCAGCCGAATGTCGACCTCTGTGAAATCCAGTGGGCTGCTTTCAAGGGTACCTTGCAGAGGCTCATCGCTTGGGGGTTTCAACATCACCTGCAGTTCAACGTTAATGAGCCATCAACAGGTACTAAGGAATACAAGGTACTTGTGCACCAAAAATTTCCTCCAATATGATAAAACAAGAATAGTTAGAAACTTAGAATAAAGCTAAACAAATTTTAATGGCCTAGATAAAGTTTCAGGTATTATAACTCGCCTGAACCAGAACCAGCACCAGCACAGTTGTCAGACAACAAAACTGCAAATTTGGATCTCATCATATTTTCTAAGAAATCTGTAAAATTTCGTTGAACTCGTTTAGTGGCTTTTGAATGGAGTCTTCCCTATTTACTTAAGTTCTTCCTTAGGAAGTTGATTTATTAGAGAAGCCAATTCGTTCTGCTCAAGTTCAACGTTGATAAAATTTTTGTCTGGCATATGAATCCGTTATTCATATAGTATGCTTACAAGTTTGCGACCAGCTGTGACGAAAAGAAGACAACAGGTGTCCCACATATCATACAACCATGCAATGCACAACTCCCACACACCAAATATAAATTAAAATGATAAATGGGCAGAACATGAGGTGTAATTTCATGTCGAAATCAACAGATAAATGGCCATCCATCAGGAAAATCAAGACTAAGTTGAGGTAGATATGAGATATACCTGTATAATACCTGCATGGTCTCCCTTAGAGTGTTCGGGGCCAGAAACCATCCAAGTGCCAGGCCAGTGGGTCCCGTCTGCCATCCAAGTTGCTTTAGACACCTTCAGAGGCTCCAGTGCCTCATCCTCAACAATAGTCTGCCTGCGAAGCTTCATGGCCTTGATCTCTTCCCGAGCATTATACGCATCCGACCGTCGACGGATTGAGTCAGGAAGACTGTTGATCCGAACCTTGAACTCATCATACTCACGTTTGACCCGCCTACGGTCCTTGACAAAATCCTGACGCACCTTATTCTTGAAAGGGTCCTTCTTAAGGCTGAAGTAAGATTCCGGATTTCTAGGCTCGATATCATGTTTCCGGCAGAACGGGACCCAAAGGTTGGCGAAACTTGCAGCCTCAGCCATGGCCTCAAATGTCAGGAGGGCGCCCCCATCATCCGAGACGTAGCACGAGAGCTTCTCGACTGGGTAGTCGGAAGCAAGAATAGAGAGAATAGTGTTTGCAGTCACTAATGGGGGTTCCTTTTCAGGGTCAGCAGTGGAGACGAATATGTCTACCCCCGGGAGATCGGATTTCCCTGTGGGATTAGCCGGGCTTGGCGTTTCGAACTTATCTTTCAGCACATTGAGATCGGTTGCGCGGTTGATTGGGCATAATTTGGGGAGCTGGTCGAGCAACCAAGAGAAGGCAAACCAGATTTCACATATAACTGACATGAACCACAACCATCTGGCATCCTCATTCGGGTGACTAACTCTCCATGCCAGAAATAGTCCGAGAACAGCCATACGGACTAAGATTAAGAGCCTGCTTGAATGCAAAATTATGGTTGTCAGGTGTTAGAAATGCTAATTCAAACTTTTGGACAACACACAGGTACACATACAAGCACACACACACACACGCGCGCAAGATATCGAGAAAGAAAAAAAAAAGGGGGGCTGGGACAAATTTAATCTTAAACAGGTAACATATTAGCCCATACAGTAGCATCAGCGAGCAGAGCAGTCATATGCCAAAAAAATATTTAGGAACGTTCATTTTGACTTTATAGCATATAACTACAATGAAACTTAGATTGTATGCTTCAAAAAAATAATCTCTGCAGTGGATCATGTTTTCCAGACAATAACCATTTGTTCTCTTTCTAAAATATTCCAAAAGTCCGATCTAAAACTTATTAGGCGTTAGAGACATTTTACATTTTTATGCAACCTAAATCATATAGTTAACTTAAATTGGTAGCTAAAATAATTTCAGCTATTTAGGCCAGCTGCTAATAGCTAGAAAGAGAATGGATAGCTATGTTTTTATTACACTTTTTTCAAATTTAGTATTCGACCAAACTTAGTGAATGGTTTAAAAAGTTTAAAACAATACAAAATAGAAGTTTGATCTAAAATAGAGAACATGGTAGAGTATGTGCAAATAAAATATAGACACTAGCTATATTAGCTTTTGAATTCTTAACTAGCTAAAATAAGTAAAATGTGGAGCATGGTCTCAACATTGTATCCCGTGGCATTACTACCACTCATGAGGTTCATCCATTCACATAAAGTCCCAATATATTGCGCATAACCCAATAGCTTACTCAATCACACAAGAAACAGAAAATAATGCACAGAAAATGAAAATGCAAATGCAGTTGTACCTATAAGGGCTGAGCACCGCGGCGGGAATCTTCATCTTGCGGGTGAGCGGCCTCCACGGCTTGCCCAGGATCTCAGGGGGCTGGCCGGAGGACCCGTCACTCTTTTCGTCCTCCTTGGGCCATATGGCGTTCCCATAGC